ACCTTGTTGCAGGAGAACAGCGCATTGGAAGAACAATTAACGGAGTGGCGTAACAAGGCGCAAGATGTAAAGAGTCTGCAGGACGAGATTAGCACCTTAGAGGAAGTCAGGTACGTGCGTTCTCATTCGTTTCCCTTTCTTGTAGATCGCTCCATATACCTAATTAAAAGCTACATCGCGACAAGAAATTCATCTAAATGAGAGTAAATTGGAACGTAAGAAGTTGCATGTTATCGGCATAAAATTTTGTATGAAGATATCGACGTGACGATATTTGTGAAACAAGTGAAAATGTCTTTACAGACGAGGTCAGTTGTGCGGGCGTTGTTTGCGCGGCATGGACACGAGGACGCACGACGAACTTTCCATAATGCTAGATCAGGAAGAGTATGATGACATAAGTATGGCCGAGTCTTTAATCAGCGAGAATCAGCGCGACTCCGAATTGACTGTACAGGTATTTCTTCTTTTTTTTTTTTTCTTAACATTTGGTTCATTCTTGCGAACTACCGTTTATTAATCTGCGTTTGCATGAATCAAGTCTTTTTTTGCTCGAGTCTGTCGTTACAATGTCGCTTCTTTTGATCAGTTATGCTTGCCTAGAATAGTAATTATCTTTTATCTGCTTTAGGAAGTGACAAACTTTGCGAAATCCAAGCCAAAGACAGAACATAAATGGTATAGTTCGTTGTTATGGAGGATATTTACTTACACGAAAGTGCCGTTGTTATTATTTCATTTTTCCGAAGCAATTATCTATGTTATTAGAGCCCATGTCATTGTTCCGATATTGCTCGCGCCTTTTCAAATACCGTTGTTTATTCTGCGTAAAATGTCTCTTATTGTTTTTAAACTTTGGCTGTTCAGACATCAGAAATCAAAAATTCTTTAACTCGATATATGCGCAGAAAAAAATTTAATCAATTCCCACACAACATACTTTATCCAAGAGATATCCTGCAAATGTCCTTAAGATATTGAGAGAACATAGGGCTGTTCTCTGAATGTCTTTAGGACATGGAAGTCTATGCTCCAAGATAATCTCAACTTCCTAGGAACGATGAAGATTTTAATACATTTAACATTTAAAAATTAACTCTTTACTATTGTATATAATTGCTATTCTATGTATATATAATTAATGTTAATGTTTAATAAATTTTATTTTGACGATATTTTTTCTTGAAATGACGCGCAAATATAGATGTACATAATATATTAATAATATATATAAGAAAAATTAATTTATTATTTAAAAAAAATTTAATTGTTTATTCAAGCATAAAGTGCCTTTTTAATGAATGTCAAGACAATTATAATATCCAATATATACTGCGGCAAATTGACTATATTTAATTTCTAAAGACTATCAAGACTGCGTCCATTTCTCGGCAGTGTTAAGGACCTAGAATAAGTAAATGTAAATATTTGTGCTTGTGCTGTTGTTCTAAGCATGATGGCTCTTGTTATTGGAATCGCTGCGTCTAGTCGAATGATTTTAATTGATTACTTTGTACAATGTATAAGTGCCAGATTTATAAGATTTTAAATAAAATACATCTTCTCAAAGAACTTTTTGCAATCTTTAATATCCTATAAATCTGGCCTTTGCCTTTCTGCTTCCAATTATCCTTCATTTCTATGCAACGTTTCATATAATTATACTAACGTAAATTGAAATGAAGAAATAAATAAAAAAAGTTACGTATAACATTTTATATTGATATAAAAATTATATGTGACTTCCTATGAGATTCTAGATTTGTAGTAAAATTTGAATGCTGATCGCTTTTCTCGCGTACGTATACTCTTCCCTAATTAAATATTCGTATTAATCATAACCGAATTTCATCGTCATAATCATTTTCATAATTTCAACTGCACACACGTTAATTACCTGCACACAGGATACATGCAGCAAAAATGAAGGTACCGACGAACTGGACAGCGCGAATCCTTATCGGGTCTTGGTAGAGAAGTATCAAGCCTTGTTGGAGGTGCAGAGACACTGTCAGCCCCGTCGCAAGGACGCCACACCTGCGACGTGCATGTCGTTGCAGGAAGAGTTGGAGATGTCCGGAGAATTTAACAATTTCTATCCTGCTGCTTCCGAGGCCGAGGTTGCTGCTGCTCCGGAATCGATCAAGACCGCTTCGCGAACCAAACCTGAGAGCGCCGGCAAGAAACCCTTCTCGGCCACTCCGACAGATTTCTCCGAAGCTGAGACGTCGTCTTCAGGCTTCTCGGACGAGACCAGCAATAAGGCGACGCAGACAGACGGCAGGCCGGGTTCATTCCTATGTTCCATCGCTGACGGCGAAGACTGCAAGTTCAGCATTTACGATGACAACAGTCCATTCGAGAGCAGGTTCCGCAAGACGCCCGAGTATCGACAGCTCTTCAGCGAGATCTTCAGCGTTTTGAAACGGGCAGCTGAGGCGAAAGATGAGGGTGAGAAGTTACCGTTGCTGGACGAACCTGCTACATCGCAGACGAAGTACGACGCGTCGTTTCAAGAAGATTTGCAAAGCGAGGCAACGGATGACAATCAAAGCATCATGTCCTCCATGGTATCGTCAGTGGTTTCGGAACCGGTCTTCAGGGTACAGTCCGCCAGTCCGGCCAATCCGAAGGACAGCAAACAATCTGACAAGTCCAGTAATACCTCCGCGAATCAACAGCCCGCAAAGGACGCAAGCTGCAGACTGGATTACGTGTCTCTTAATTTACGCGTTCGCAAGAAGTCCTCGGCGAAAAAGAACGCCACTAAGAAGGCGCAACTCAACGACCGGTCGACCACACCGGACGTTATTCCCACGACGAATCCGAAATTCGTCCCGGCCAAGCCCAACAGCGGCCGAAGGAGATTCAAACCGTTCAATCCTGCCGAGCATGAGCACTCCGGTGCGTGGAATGGTCAGCACAACGCATATCCGAATCGGTCAAGGGATAAGAAGCTGTACGGTCGTGGTTCGAACGAACAGCAACAGCAGCACAACAATTACGAGTACAAGGATTTCAAACCTAGTACCGCGTCGGAAGAGGTGGCTCGGCTGAAGCGATTAGAGATGTCTTATGCAGAAGTTCTTCGTACGCCTAACAACAAATCCAGAGCCAATAATCATCATCATTATCGTAGAAATCAAACGGGATGAATGAACGGACGGAACGAAGTTCATAGAGTTTTATATTTGGATTTCGATCCTGATTGTATCCTGACTAAGATAGAGATATCACGCGTTGATCACGCATCATTCGTCCCGTGATAAGATCCAGTATTGTTTTGTACTTTCTTGTAAATATTCAACGACGCGGATACGTTTAGCGGCATGTTTCTATAATATAGGCACTAATTAACGCGTCCGCATTAGTTTTAAGTTTGAGCATTTCATATTTCATTGTATATCCCCTTTCCTTCCACGCGGTGAACATACAACGACGAGTATTGACCCCCTGTGGCACCGTCGTTAGTCGTTACGGAGAAGAGAAAAATTTATCAATGTGCCATTTACTCTCCGTGTCAAAATATCAACTTCCGACTTTAAAACTCGCACTACTCTTCGATAACGTATAACTTTCTCCCGGGGAGGTAGTGCATGTCAGCAACAAGCGTGGTGTGTTAGCTTTTGTATTTTATAGGTATGAGTATTGTGATGATGTTGTACGTATAAATAAATAAATTCTTTATCGTATTAAGTCACTTTATCCTTTTTCGCGCTCTATCGAATAAGGTAAGGTGGTGCAATTTCCAATGTAGCACAAATCTGAACGAAATAAGATGTGAATCCAATTTTCGAGTTTAAGTTTGGTTCTTTCTGGTTGGTGGTTCCCTTCAATACCCTCCACACAATGAGATTAATGTTGCCAAACTTGCACTCGAATTTGGATGCATATCTTCTTTTTCTTCTTCTTTAAGCTCCTGTATGGTTTTTCAACCACTTGTAAGGTTCACAATACCATGCGATAAGATCTACTGATCCAGTGTATGCCTTTTCGGGGACAGAAGCCATACACAGTCAATTCACAATTTTTATCTCATATCAAATCAAAGTCTCACATAGACCTTAAGCCTTTCTATATCTCTGTGACTTAATTAGGATATCGCGGATAAGACATATTAGAGCAATAGTGCTCTTTAAACGAAAACACAGTTTTGGTATTTACTCGCAAGGCGTTCTCCTAAACGCGAAAAATCGCGTATATGGGGCATTGGTGTAGGAATCGAACTCGAATCCACGGATTGTGAGTCGACCACCTAGGGCATGTTGCCACTCGTGCCACCGATTCGAGTCTTATTTCATTCAAAATTGTATCCGTATTCGAAATTGTACCATCTTATCCTCTATACGTGATTGTTATAAAACAGATTCTCAGAGAAAATAAATTTTTTCAGTACTTGTTTCTGCGTAAATTTATAATAAGAGTCTGAAAAAAATGACTCGTCCAACATACAAACATATACAATGATCTTTGAAATTCGAAACCATGAAAACCACATAATATTAAATTTGAATAAGTTACATTTCTGATCGTACGCACGCGTGAATGGTCATCATGACTTCATTTATCTAATATCTACATTATACTTTTAATATAATATCAAAGTTGAAGTGAAGGAAGTATCATTTTATTTGTATATTAAATGTACAAGAAGCAGCTTGCACCCGATATTTACGTGGTTCCGTGGCCGTATTATTTTAACTAGTTTTCTCTACGTTTTAACACCAGAACGCCTGAATCTTTTCTATTATCTTGAATATTAAAGAATAGTTTGCGACCTCTAATATTTTAGACACTTAAACTCAGTTTCACAACTCACGATTAACTCTTAACCGAGGTTCATTCTAGAATTGGAAAGAGATGAAAAACAAGTTGGACCTTGATTAAGAGTTAACCGAGTTGTAAAATTGGGCTTTAATACATTATATCTCAATACATTTAAAGTAAGACATAACAATAAAGTTACAACTAAAAAGTACGTAAAATGTAAAGAGACGTTTATCTCTAAAAATAATTTACAAAAATTTTACGAGCGTTCCAGTGTTATTGGTCGTTTAGACCATATAGACTACCAAAGATAATGAGTGGTATAAGTTTATTAATACAATTACAATTGGGAATTGGAGTTGCGCACATCGAGTACGCATGTTTCGTCGGTTCTCCATTCGCTTTCCTAAGAATAATCTGCGTAATGTCCATTACACATACAAGACATTTCTTTCCTTCATATTAACTTAGTCGTTTTATCAAAATGGATACAGTCGATTAAGAATCGTCAAACAAGGCGCGATGTACCGCTCCTAAACTTGGTTGTACATAACTTGAGCTGATACTACGTCTCGATCTGTAGAGAAGAAAATGCATGGTGAAAAAAAGAAGTTTGTCGGCTGCCTACAAACGACACATTTCAATGCAACTATTTTAAGATTATGAATTAGTTTCTGCAGCCATAGTAGATTGTGACATAAATGTGAGAAATTACACGTAATGATTCCATGTGATTGATTCAAATAAATGAATTTGTGCTGTTTTTGACTTTCATATACCATCACACGATTCAATATATAGAATAGATTTGTAGTATACATGTATATATATATATATATATATATATTATATATATACGTATATATGTATAAATTGTATGTTTAATGCATACAATAGAAAATATTTGCTACGTACTCCGTAAGAGACCGAACGGCTGGCCCAGTGGGATTATTTTTTGATCGTGGATTAACAAGAAGACATTTCATTGGATGACCATCTAATTGTCGATTATGATAAGTCTCAACTGCTTTAGTTGCATCCTTTAGTGTTTTGTAGATTACTTCCGCTGTACCTGGACGAACTAGTCTTGAAACGAGCAGTTCTCCAACATCCTCGAATAATTCCTACACGATGCAAAGATTTTTTTTTCAACATTTTACAGCAAATGTAAAAACTTTTACAAATAAGTTCTTTATCTTACTGCACCTTAATATCTTCTTGCGTGACGTTGGCTTGCAAGTTGGATACTACAATTCGATAGCCATTCGATTGCGCCGATGAACTGGAACTTGCTTTCGGCCGTGATAAAACACTCATTGTTCTTGTCTTATTGCCAGAAACATCAAGACGTGACTTAATTCCTACCTCTCGAATATTTCTGGAATCGTAGTACTTAGAATCTGCTGTTTCTTCTGCTACAATTGTTCTATAATCAAAATCATACAAAATAGTAGGTTTTTCAATCAGTTAATGTTTCAATTTTTCTGTAAGATATGGTTACTTACCTTGATTTTGTGCCAAAATTCCAATCTTCTTTATAAGAAGGTGAAGCAGTTTTTACCTATGACAAGAAAAAATAATGAAAATTAAATTGAACGACAATTGTACAAATTTCGCACAAAAGAGGATGACATTTACCATCGCGGAGCGTGCAGCGAGTTTGTTGTAATCTCTTTGCCTCTCTCGTTCTTTTTCCATCTCAGATTTTCGAGCTGGAATCCTAGTAACATTAGTGTTTCTAGACTTCACCCAGGTATAAGGAGAAATCGGATTAATATTGAATACAGGAGGTGGAGGTGGAGGTGTTGGTGCATATTCGTTACTCACAGTCCTCCTCAGCGAAGGAGAATCCGTCAGATAATCTGAAATAATAAATTAATATAAATATTTTTTTAACGTATTATTTCAATAATTTTCAATAAAATATCTTAAAATATTATAAAACATATTAATAACAAGAGACAATACAAACTTGTTATCTTTAAAAAGGTAAACAAGATAAGGTCAAAGGTCAAAATAGACCAAGTTAGAATAAGACCAAAGTAAACGAAGTTAAAAAAATTAAGGTGATATATTCATAAATAATTCGAACTAAACATAACCGTATTTCAAACAAACAATGATATAAAACATATTGCTACAATACAATTCAGAAAATAAATTTCCGACAAATTAATCTTAATATTTTAAATCATTAAAATTTTGGATTGTTAATTTTGAAATGCAATTTTAGTGTAATAACTAATTGTAGAGGAATATAAAAGTTTGTTCTTTTAAAAGTACATTTCTTTTCTTCTATATGTTTCCAATCTTTTTCAGCAATTAACTAAAAAATGAAACTTTACTTATGTTGTTGCTGTAGCAAATGAGTGACATATGTATTTCTCAATATATTCACATTATGTTTCACGTACCATCAGTATAATCCATATTCATTTCTCCTATATAAGGCTCGGCGAGAGGTGGTCTGTACCCAACCGTTCTCGTCGAAGGCTGCATATAATTGGTTGGCATATTAGATGGTAACACATGCTGCATCAAAGACGGCATTTTATTCGTCGACAACGACAATCTGCCGTTTCGGCCAGTCTTGCGTGAAATGCTTGAAAGCTGAGTATCTATCTTCTTGTAATGAGACGCACGAATCTTGTCTAGCTTGAGTCGTGCATCGCTCTGCTTCGCTATCTCGGCAAGCTTGTCCCTGGCGTCGGTCAGCTTCTCCCGGTTCTTCTGTATTATTTTAAATCGTGCATCTCTGATCACCTGTGAGCCACGTCCCCTCATAGAACCGTTTGCTCGTGCTCCTCTGTTGGAGACACCCCTGCGTATCCTGCACAATTGCGCAATGTAAATTTTCTGACTTTTTTTATTTGTTACAGTAATAAAAAACAATACTTTGGAAAGATTAACGAACGTGTCTTCTTACATGACTTCTTCAGAAATCGCGGAGTAAGTTTTTATCAACCAAGCCGGATATGATACTGTGGTATCATTAAAGAGAACAGTCAGTAGAATTTGCTCAGGATTTCCGAGCTATTCACGGCTGCGACTAATATTCGCGCACGCCAAGTTTATTCGAGCGACTACATGGAAACGGGACTATCAACTAAAGATATCTGAAGAATGAAAATTTAAGAAAAGATTTTCACCACAGACTTCTGTCAATAAATGAAAGCACGATCGTCAAGGTTATAAATATGTAACTCTCTCGCTATGAAGTTGGCGAGAACTCTGCTGGATAATTAAGTGAATTTGCCTCACCCTCCTCTGCCTCTCATTCCTAATGATTTCTTTTTAATTATATCGTCCAGGCTTAGGCTCGTATCAGCCATAACGAAACAATTACAGATCACAGTACGCGAAGTACAAGGCGGTACAGTCACTCGAGTCCCGAAACCAAACCGAATTTGAAGGACGGTAATTTCGGATTACGTCTAGTGACACGTTGCCGGAAACGCTATTGGACGAGGACTTAGGGAATTTTTAGAAACATTTCGCGCGCACAAAACAGCAATGTTGAGAAAGTAACGAATGGTACGTCGTTAAAGATAATTGGCTTTGTAGAATGCAATACTTTTTCGTGCTTTGTTATAAAAATATGCAGAAATTATCAAATAATTACAAGATAGCGTAAGTAGCTGTCTTTCCAAATCTTTCAGTCCGGAAACACAGCAGTAAGCTTTAAGTCGTAAAATATTGGCCAATCGCAGATGAATATAAGAAGAATAATTGACCATGATTGGTTGATTTCTTATGACACTGGGTGCGGTCAAGTTGCCGCTACGAATCCTTCGAAGCATTTTTTGATTAGTCAATTAGTAAAATTCTTTCTTCCGATTGATTAATCAAATGCTTTGAAGCATTCGTAGTGGCAATTCGACCACACCCTTAAGGGTATTCCACACAAACTTGCATAATTGCATAAATATATGTATAAAGAGAATCATCCAATCGTAATTTACGTTTGTCTGTATGACAGAAATGGAATTGGATAATTTTCTTTCTGCATATGGTTATGCGGCTCTGTAAGTTTGTGTGGAATGGCCCTTACTACCAAAAGCCCTTTATGATATACACGATTTCTGATAGGTCAAAATCTATATTGCCTGTTTTTCAATTGTGCATCAGGCTTTAGGACTACTCTATTAAGAGGGAAGGGGGAGGGAGTGGATAGGGAAAAAAGCACTTCTAACTTCAAAAAATTAGTTGTATAAAACATAGTTTTTGATAGGTCGAAATTCTCCGTTTTTCCAGAGAGAAACCTGAGAACGGCCACATCCCAACATTTTTTCTGTAATTCTTCTAATTCCCCGTACACTAGCGACACCAACGTTCATTTTCGAGCTGCGGGAACTACGTACCACGTCCATTTTCGAGATCCCCCCCATCACGCCGATAAAATTGTATCGTCGAAAGTGGACGTGGAACACCACAAATTATAGATGTGAAGAAAAAACTATTTTTCGACATTGTTGATAAATAAATTTACATTATGATGCTACAGCTATACAAATTGCAGATAAAAATAATATTATGTATATATGTGTATTTATTATATATACATTTATAAAATAAATACATATATATATAAAGAATCGTGTAGGATTGAACAAGTGCCAGAGATGCCAAAATATACATAATATTATTTTTATCTGCAATTCGTGGCTGTAGCATCATAATGTAAATTTATTTATCAACAATGTCGAAAAATAGTTTTTTCTTCACATCTATAATTTGTGGTGTTTTACGTCCACTTTCGACGATACGATTTTATCGGCGAGACGGGGAGATCTTGAAAATCGACGTAGGACGTAGTTTCCGCAGCTTGTAAATGGACGTTGATGTCGCTAGTGTACGGAGAGTTAGGCCTAGTTTCACAACTCACGGTTAACTCTTAACCGAGGTTCAACTTATTTCTCATCTTTTTCCAATTCTAGAATTGAAAAGAGATAACGAATAAGTTGAACCTCGGTTAAGAGTTAACAGTCAGTTGTGAAACTGGGCCTTAGAAGCATAGTCCACAAACACGATAGAGTAAGCCTTATAAGCCTTAAGAAATTGATCAATCACAGTTGAATGTGAGAAGAATAATCGACTATGATTGGTTAATTCCTTAAGACTTAAAGCTTACTACTCTATTGTGTTTGCGGACTTACAGGAAAAAGTCGGGATGGCCGCTCTCAGGTTTCTCCCTGGTTTTTCTTTCCCTTCCTTATTTCTTCGATTGAGCGAAGCCCCTAAAGACATCTGGCAAAAAGTCACAACATGAAATTTTAACAATTTTCGCGCGTGTTGTGATTCTGTAGCTAAAGTTTGTTTTTAAGTCAAATGGATAATAACACGGACAATAGCGATATAAATCGCGATATTCATACCATAAATTCCATGATAAATTCTTTAACGAAGCAGTTTCTCTGCTGTACTGCGTTAATTAAGATGGATTTTATAGTACATATATCAATTTTATATATACTTACACAACCTGTTACCACATTTCGTAATTACATAGCGAAAATTTGATACTATAAAGGGAATGTTTTGCAGGTATTGGAGGAATACAAAACTTACAACCTCAAACTAGATATTCAAAAACAAATTTTGGATCATACGATAAATAATGATTTAATTAAGCGATATCCAATAAAAACCTCATATCAGAAAGCATTTTTGAAATTACTTATGCAAAAGGTATATTTAAAATATCAAATATGTAATGTTTTCACATAGGTTAGAAAACAGTCACTTTCCTTATTTGTTATTATATGCGGTTTAGATAGAGGAAGGTGATAATGAAATTCATGATGACTTATATGCAGCGTATTGTAGATTAATATCATTGTCAGATGAAGAATCTGTGCACTATCGCCATTTCTTAATACAAAATGGTACATTAAATTGTGTTACGTTAAAGGAGAGCACGAACTTGATTTCTCAAGGAACTACAGGCTTATGTAGCTGGCAGGTACTTGTTTATCTTTTAAAATATCTTTATAATTCCTGAACGTTCCTTAAATTGTTTAGGAAATATTCTTAAAAAAAAAAAATTAAATCATATATGTGTTTATATTAGTTGCAATCGTTACAATTGACAGGGTGCCATAGTATTGAGTCAATGGTGTGCGGAAAACAAAGAACAGTTTTGTGGAAAAAATATATTAGAACTTGGCTGTGGAGTTGGATTGACTGGTATGAATGTAATTAGTATATGTTCCCCGAAACAATATATTTTCTCTGACTGTCATCCAACAGTATTAAATATACTCTGTGAGAATGTAAAACTCAATTTTCTATCAAATGAGCGAAGCGAACTATTGGATACATCTGATACGACGTCAAAGCTACAGTTGCAATTAAAGTACGAGCAAACTAATATTAAAGTCATAGATTTAAAATGGGAGGATATTAATGAATACATGTTAGAAAATTCGTTACAACCTGATATAATTATTGCCGCTGATATTCTGTATGACAGTAACTCGTTTGGTGCATTAACATTGGGATTAAAACGCCTCTTAACATCAAACAATTATGCTATTTTCGCTGCAACAATTCGTAATGAAGACACTGTTTCACAGTTTTTGGAACATTTAGGTATTTTGATTATAATTTATGTTTGCTAATTAAAAAAACATAGATAATTTAAATGCCAAAAAATTTAATTTTTGTTTTAGGAAATTATGATCTGGCTTTTGAAGAATGCAGTTTGCCACGATGGGCTACGTCGATAGAATTGATTTACGCGCCTGTTCGGATATTGAAGATTTTTCAGAAGATTTAACAAAAGTTTTACTGTGATATTGTTAATTCATCTGTAATTAGACAAATAGTTTATTTAATTACAAATACCACAATTAAGAAGCATTTAGGAGCAATTAAACGGGAGATTTTATTAATAACCTTAGCATAAATTCATATATATATATATAAATAACAGGTGTTAAAAATATATATAAAAGTATTAAATATGAAATATTTTCTACATCTATCGTAATCGTTAACTGTTAACACTATCGCAACTCAAAACCATTTTCTTTTGCCATGGCGTTTGAGTTTCACCTCAGTCTCATCCACATCCTTGTCGGCATCTTTTTTTGTGGCCTTTTTCAACTTCTTTTCTTTTACTTTCTCCTTTGTTTTTCCTTTTTTCGTTTTCTCTGCATTAGAAGAATCATTGGCTTTGCTTGCTAGCTCGTTTTTATTCCTCGCTGAAAGATGAATGGCAATTTAAATAAGAGCTTACATTGTATTTTGTATTAATATATCTATCGTCACATTACTTACCAGCGAATAAACCCATATGTTTATTTATGCTTTTATCCTCTTCTACCTCTCTTCGACGATCCATCTCTAAGCATTCGACAATTTCATTTCTTCTCTCTACAATTTCTACTAACCTAGAGAAACACAAAAACATGTAATCACATGTTTATAATAACATTGCTCTATTAACATTTTATTAAAGTATTTTTTTTTTTTCGAAAATACCTTTGTATCAATGTTTCTTCTCTTTGTTTATCGAAGTCCGTTTTAGTAGCTTCTGGTTGGCACATGAGACATCGTATTTGATATTCTACTTCAACATGTTCCTCCTCTAATCTTTGTTGCCTCCGTAGTAACATCAATTCGGCCTGTCTCCTGAACAGTTCATTTTTTTCGTTTACTAATGCGAACAATTCTAAAACCAATTCCTCCACATCTGTACCGAGCGATGAATCTATCAATTAAATTAAATGTTAATTATATATTTTTATAATACATTGTTCTTATACTTATTGTGTGCGTTCCTTACCGTCTGTTCTAGGTCCGGATTCGCATTTATCTCGTATCAACTGTTCCAATCGCACGCCTTGTTTTTCTAAGCCTTGCTGTTGCAATTCTATTTCATCTAATTCTAATTTCACGTCTTTCATAGATATTACTTTAATCTGTAATTAAAAGCAATATAATCTCGTTTCTTATTTACACGCCTTTAAAAATTTAATTTATCAAAAATTTGAATTTTAAAATATTTTCAAAAATTTACGCCAAAAAATCTGCACAAAGTTTACGTAACAAATATGTCTTATGACAGAAGATAGGATCTACCTTTCTCCTATGCGGAATTGGACGCGGTGGGGCGGGACCCTTTTTCCTCTTCCACTTTCCTTGCATGCTTTTGTCAGTGTAAGACGTGTA